CCGCCTTCGCGCTCCGAGCCCCGCGGCCCTTCGCACTGTCCCGCGCGGGGCGCCCCGACGGACGGAGAGACGGACTCCCGGTCCGCGGCATCCTGCGCGGCGGGCGCGCGCCCCCAACGCCGGATGTGGAGTGGGGGCCTGGCTCCCCGAGGCGCTGAGTCCCGGGCTGACGGGCTGCCTTGGCCCTCGGACGCCTTCTTCCTGGGCTGGAGGAAGTCCGGGGTGAAGGGACCCCAAGGCACCTCCCGGCCCGGCTTGGACACCCCGGCTCCGGCCGTCCCGGACCCGCACGGTGGAGCCTCTGCCCAGCCTTTCGTGCGGGTGCTTTAGACGCTGCCGGGACGTCCTCGGGTGTTCGCGCTTCCACGTGTATTTTCCTGCCGCGGATCTCCGATAGGAAGCCTCGCCACGTCGAGTTAGCGAAACGCATCTCAGGGTTCCCACAATGAAGTTAGCAAAGCAGTGTCCCGAACAGGTCGTTTTTCCTGTATTTAACAGCATTAAGTAGGTTGAAAGACGCCCCCGGCAGCGCTGCTAAGCTCTCTGTGCCTGGGCCGGGGATGGGGCAGAGCAGAACCCTCGCAAACTGCTTTCCTTCAGATCCCCTCCTCAACCGAATGAAATACGGGATCAGAAAAAGGCATTTAGGCATAGTGACACCTATGACAAGGCTTTAAGTTTGACTAGCTTTGTGTCATTACACAGTAAGAGGGATACTGAAGTACAAGTATGGCGATGCTTGTTTGATGAGTCCGTTGCGTTAGATAAAGAGCATCCTTCTCCTAGAAGTTCCTAATATTACCATACTGTCGGGTTCTTGAAATTGCATAACTTTCCCTTTCTGTTTCTTAACAGGGGCACTATGAACGAAGAGGAGCAGTTTGTAAACATTGATTTGAACGATGACAACATTTGCAGTGTTTGTAAACTGGGAACAGACAAAGAAACACTCTCCTTCTGCCACGTTTGTTTTGAGCTAAATATTGAGGGTAAGGACACAGTATAGATTGATTTTATGGCATGAACTTTACTTTTGCTGAACTGGTTATAAGGTAAAATAAAATTTCTTGAATGACTGGAAATTGTGCCAAGTATGATGTGTGAAGATCTGTTAAAGATAAGGATTTATGGAAACTGAAGCTGAAGTTCTCACAGCTGTGAACTTAAATGTTTACCTTTTTTTAAACTCCCACAGTACTAACCCCATTTCTGCTAATATAAAAAACAAAGTATGAGTATTGGTTAGTAAACATGTTTTCTGGTTTGAGACTATTAAGTTGTCAAGTTTAATAGATCTGTGTGTATGCTTTTGTTCTTTAGTTGATGGGCAAATGTAATTTAATTCTTTTGGCCTTCCATCCTGGTACCTGACTGAGGTGAGCTAGAACTTTTCCCTAGTGCTGTCTTATCTGGAAAAACTTAAATTTTTAGATAACTTCTTTTCAGTAATCACACACACTTTCAATAGTTTTTAAAAATTAAAAAGGTTTTTTACATTTCTTAATAGTATTTCTGAAAGCATATGAAAAAGAGTTCTCCAAATATTAAAAAAAAATGTTATGTACTATTTGTTTGGATTGGTATACAGTTAATGTGTGTATAGACAATAGTTTGCCCTCAAACATGAGGGATGTGTTTTTTTCTTTAATCTTGATGTTATGGACCCTGACTTTCAAAAAATATGACTCAAACTAAAAAGAATCTTAATATTCTTAAAATAAAAAAGTATAATTATATGATATTCATTTTCCATTTAAGATCATATTGGTTATGATAGTTTTGCCATTTTACTCTGGAAGAATTACAGTTGCTGAACATGATAATCGATGGAAGATCTTGGATTTCTTGGGGGTAAATAGAATACCTATAACTTTGTCTTTAATAAGTGTAGTCATTATAACTAATTTAAAAGGGCTCACTTAATATGGTTCTTATATAGCATCTGAATTACCATGTCCTTAATAATACTACAGTGAAAGATCTAAATTTATGTTCTTTGAAAATAAGAGTTGGCTCTATATGTATTCTTTTACATTGTAGATTTTTTTTTTTTTTTTTAAGATTTTATTTATTTGACAGAGACACAATGAGAGAGGGAACACAGGCAGGGGAAGTGGGAGAGGGAGAAGCAGGCTTCCTGCTGAGCAGGGAGCCCGATGTGGGGCTCGATCCCAGGACCCTGGGATCATGACCTGAGCCGAAGGCAGACGCTTAACAACTGAGGCACTCACGCGCCTACATTGTAGATTTTAATTTTGGCTGGGCAAAGACATTAGAAATGATCCAGCTCAAACCTGTATTTTACATTGAAGGAAACTGAGGGCCAAATAGGACCGTTCAAGGTTGCTCTAGTGGTGATGGCGTCCTGTTGTTAGGGCCAGACTCTGTACTAAGCACCTTACATGAGTTACCCTAGTTAACTCAGAATAGCTCTGGCATGGCTTCTGTTATACATTTTAAAGGTAATGGAACCTAACCTTTGAGACCTAAAAAGTGCACTTCGAAGTCACACAGCAGTAATTGACATGCTAGTGTTTGAAGCCTGGTGATTGTTTCCAGTATATATGATCTTAATACCGTTGAGCTATTGTCAGTAGTTATTTTAGTTGATAGGGCTAATATTAGAAACCCATTTTCCTGAATCCTAATTAGCTATCCTTGCTACTTGGTCAGCCAACTTTTCCTAACCAGTGCTTCCCACTAAATCATCATTAGTGGGGATCGTGCTGTGATGGACTTTTTCCACAGAAACCTAAACTTCCATAAATTGCTTTTCTCGCCTTTTTAAAATAAGCCTTTTAACTTTTTTTGTCATTATATAGAGAATATACAAATACTCCTCAGGTACCACTTTTGTAAATGTTTCATTTCTGAAAATATCTTTTTCTTTAAAAGATTTATTTATTTTAGAGAGAGAGCATGCGTTCTGAGAGCATGGGGGGGTGGAGGGCGGGAGAAGCAGAGGAAGAGGGAGAGAGAATCTCAAGCTGACTCCTCACTAAGCATGGGCTCTGTTTCAGGACCATGAGATCATGATCCGAGCCAAAATCGTGTTTGACACTTAACCAACTAAGCCACCCAGGTGCCCCGTGATAACATATTTTTTAAAATTTTATTTTATTTTTAAGATTCTATTTATTTGAGAGAGAGCATGAACAGTGGGGGAGGGGCAGTGGGAGAGGCAGACTCCCTGCTGAGCAGGGAGCCCAATGTAGGGCGATACAGGGCTCCATCCCAGGACCATGAGATCATGACCTGAGCCAAAGGCATACGCTTAATGGACTAAACCACCCAGGCGCCCCCACCCCCTAATAATATCTATCTTAATATATAAGTCATATGTTGTTGAAATAATAGTTATGTTTAACTTAAAAGACCGTTCTCAATTTGAATTAGAACTGTTTCATTTTGTACTCTACATACACTTAGGATTTTATATATATATATATATATATTTTTTAAAGATTTATTTATTTGAGAGAGCGAGAATGAGAGAGAGAGAGAGAGAGAGAGTCC